ATTTTACTATAGTCTTTTAACAGACTTAAGACAATTATTGGGGTGTTCATAACCTTTTGTAGAGAGGACTCCCACCAGTCGTCTCTGGAAAAGTATGACAACACCTGTGATTAGGGCTCCAGCAGGCTGGATGCTGTGATGAACCCTTAACCATTGTACAAATGTTGCCCATACCCCCTCTGACTCGGTCTCTTGCCTCAGCATTCCCTAACCCGGCAACCAAGTTTTAGTCAATCAAGTTTAAATAGGCCTCCCATAGTGGGACGGGGGAATGTACGGCCCGAGATGCCTATTAAACTTAGAGCTGTGTGTGTGTGACTGGGGGGGGGGAAAGTCCTTAGTAAATCCAGATTAGAACTGGTCTGATAAATGCTGAGCTGGGTGTGTGTGAACATGGGTTGATTAACATTTGAAGCACAGATTCCCCATCATGCAGTGCTCCCCTGCTTCTATGGTCCCAGAATTCACTGCAGTCTCTGCTTCAGGCTTTCTGTTCTCCATCTCTCATGTAAATGAATGGTCATCTGGTTCTATCTTGGATGTAAATGAGACCTAGGGCAGTTGGTTCACTCTTGTCACCCTTATCTTGAGGGTCTTAGGTGTGTCTCTCACTGCATCTTAATCAGTTTCGTTTAGGTAGAGGAGGGGAGGGAGGGGGGGTGAGTCCTTTGTGAGTCAGACAGACTGCATCCTGTGCCAGGGTTGCCCAAGAATACAGAGCTGAGGCGTAACAGCATAGTGAAGATGCACAGGAATAGAAACTAAAACAGCAAGTTAGCCTTGAAGGCAATTATTTGCATCACTTGCATGGCTACATGAGCTGGTAGTCTCACCTATAGCAGACATATGACATGATTTATGCTCCCAGTGTGAATAGCCTGATTTGACTTAAATAATCTTGACCTTTAACAGTGAACATTATTGACCACAGAGGAAAAATTCAATTGGAAAAGGTGACTATGAGTTGATGTCTTTATTACCAAAAATGAATTACTTTCTGGAAGAAATGTATCAGTCATACACTAAACTGGGCTCAACACATCGATTATGGAAGTGACATCTAACTGCCTGTGACCCAAAGAGGTTGTACTAGATCTCTGACAGGTCTGACTTCAAAACCTATAGATTAAATCCAAAAGAGGAATCATGTCATAGCATTCCTACAGTATATGTGATTCCATGCCTAGAATCAGGCACTTGGATCCCTCAACAAGGAAAAGGATCCTTAATCATAGTATCACAATGGCTGTCATTTCAAAGCAGGAGCCACATTAGCTAACCCATAGAAACTTTAGGGAAAATCATCAAAGATTAAACCTCATCATTCTCAGAGAGAGGGGCAATCAGTCATGTTTAGTTTAAAGTCAGACCGAAGTCAGGATAGAGGTAGACGTTATAGACTGAATCAGAGATGTTAACTAAGTAATGGGACCACACCTAACACAATCCAGCCTGTGTAAGGTTTCCTGTTCCACAATTCTGTGTCCAGCTTGATTTTGAAAACGTTGCTGTTTAAGACCACACAAAGTGGTTCCTTCCATAATCTGTGATTCAAAGCTGTGAAGCCATCCTGGAACTATGTCAATCACTTTCATAAAAATGAATTGGAGGCAGTGATATGGATGCCCCATCCATACAAATATTTTAGGGGTTGGAGCACTCACCTTAGGGTGGGGATGTGGGTGACTCCCTCAAAAAGAATTATATTTTTCTCTAGAACATGTTCTTTGGGGCAGGGGGCCAAACCTAGGTCTTCCACCTCATTGATATGGTGTATTTTAGACTGAACCTATCTCTGTGGTTGAATATGCTTGTGCAGCATACAAACAGATTCATTGGAATCAGTCTTTCTCAAGTCAGTGCTCTATCCTCAAGAATCACAGTCTTTGCAACAATTACTTCAGCGGCATTCATAGCTTTCATACACCTCTGCTCCTACAATGCTTTTAAAAAGGCTTAGATTGAGGATAGCCATGATAGTACAAATGCTCTTTCTGTTAAGAGAGAAATTAATTATTTATAAACTAAATGTCCATGTGGAACAGTTACATGACATCAGAATATTTTAAACACTCAGTTCCCATTAGCACGTAACATTTTTTCCAAATTTTGAAATACATTCACATGCCTTACATTTTCTCTACTAAGTTCCCCAGAGCTGCCTTTACTTCCCTGTTTCTCAGGCTGTAGATGACAGGATTTAACATGGGAGTTAAGATATTGTATTGGACAGAGAACAGTCTGTCAAGAACCACTGAAGAGCCTGAACTGGGTCTCAGATATCTGGCAAATCCAGCCCCATAATAAAGAAGAACAACAGTGAGGTGGGAGCTGCAGGTAGAGAAGGCTTTACTCCTACCCACAGCAGATTGTATCCTGAAGATGGTAGAGATGATGAGGATGTAAGAGACCAGGGTGATGGAGAAGGAGGTTAAACTTACAACCGTAGCTAAAGTGAAGAATGTCATCTTACTGATGAAGGTTTCTGTACAGGACACTTCTAGTAGAGATGGGAGCTCACAACTGAAATTGTTCAGTTCATTGGGCCCACAGAAGTGTAAATGTAACACAGGAGCAGTGTTTGTCAATGAATACAATATGCTAATCAACCATGCACCACCCACTAGTCTAATACAGACCTGTTTATTCATGGTTCCCCCATAATGCAGTGGGTCACAGGTGGCAGCATATCGATCATAGGCCATTGCTGATAGGATAAAAATTTCTGCACAGTACACCAGAAGAATTAAGCTCATCTGGGCAAGGCAGCCATGGAGAGAAATGTTTTTTTTCTCTACCAGGAAATTCTGCAGCATCTTTGGGACAGTGATTGAAGAGTAGCAGATGTCCAGGAAAGATAAATGGAATAGGAAAGTATACATCAGGGTGTGAAGGTGAGGATCAGACCTTACTACCACCATGATCACCCCATTCCCCACCACAGTTACTAGGTATATAAGTAGAAACACCACAAACAGGAAAGGCTGGAGCTCTGGGTCACTGGAAACACCTGTCAGAACAAAATAGCTGACACCTGTGTGGTTCCCCATGGCCATTTATTCACCAAACCTTGAACGTAAAAGAAGAAATGATTGAATGAACAAATAAGTAAGTCATACTATTATAGTACTTAGGGTCAGAAGGGACCTAAATAGATCATCAGGTCAGACCCCCTGCCCTGGACACGAACGGGTGCCGGGATCATATCACCCCAGTCAAATCTCTGTCCAGCGTCCTCCTGAAGACCCCCAAAGTAGGAGAGAGTATGGGAGCCCATTTGGGAGCCCATTTCGGAGCCTGGCAGCCCTACCTGTAAAGTAATATCTCCTGATGTCCAGAGTGAACCTTCTCTCTATCAACTTGTTGCTGTTATTCCTAGTAACCCAGGGT